TATTATTTATTTTATGAGGTATTGGCTTTGCAAAATAGGTCCCTAATTTATCATTATAGCTTGTAGGGCTGCAGCTAATGATGATTTTAGTATTCAAAGCGTCTATAGTTTATTTCAATGATTCATCGATGCGTCGTTTAAGAAGCACTTTTGCTTGGGCGTGGGGGGCTACACGCAGGTAGCAGGGATTGTCTGAGCTACAGAGAGAGCTGCAGGGGAGTTAAAAGGTGCGGCTCCCCAACACTCAGTTAACTCTTGACTGTGAGGTTACAACTCATGGCCCAAAAAGGAGAACAAACGCGTGGGCACATTTTCACCTGAGGACTGCAGCTTACTTTGGTTAGCCTTCAACAATCAATCATGATTTCAGTTTAAATGCTAAAGTTGCTGTTACTGTTACCTTGTCTGTAGTCCGCTGGCAGAACACTGGCTGCTTTCTGATAAGGCGCCGTCGTGCTGTTGCCAAGGCAACAAAAGTTTTGTCTTACAATGGACAGACGGTAACATTACAGAGTTGTTTTTTTCTTTAGCTTGAAATAATCCCATACTTTCGACACTTTCTTTTTTGTCCCTCACTGTTTTCTCTCTCTTCCCCCAGCTATTAACAGCTCCATCATAATCACGTCGTGTTCATAGCGTAAACGTGATGTGCGACAGTAATAAATGTCCCTGCGAAACACTGTGCTAGTTACATGGATTAAATGAAGCATCGATGCAAAGAATTTGTGTCGAAGCATTTTATGAATCGATTTTATCGATGACCGTTAGGGAGCGAGAAAGGCCTGCTGAGGCTGCCACAATCCCCTGTCTGGTATTCAAGACGCCATTGTTTTACATGTGCAGCTTGTGTAAAACTATGGTAAGGCTTTTGAGAATGTGGGAACCGTTTTTTGAGTAAAACATGTTAATTACATTCCTCAAAGAGCTATGTTAACTTCTCTCATCAAAGAGCTAACGTTAACTCCTGGGGTGAGGCTAAGGGTTCGCCCTGCAGCCTTGTGTTCACGAAGCCACTGTTCTAACGTGCTGCTTGTGTGTACACTGTGGTGATAATTGTGAATGTTAAACTGTTTATTAGAAACACATTACATTCTTGAAGTCTAAGCCTTATTATTTATTAAAAAAACAAAAACAAATAAAAGGGTGACGGGACAGAGGCTGATGCACACCACCAGACCTCCTCCCTCCGTTATGTGTCCAGCATTTATTTGTGTTTCATGTGCTGCTGTGTACACACTGAAAATGCTGTGAATGTTCAACTGATTAAATACAGTACATTCCTAAAGAGCATTCTCCTCCCTACCGAACCCCCTCCATCCATCCAGCTTCAGTCTCCACAAAACTTCAGGGTCACCGATGCTAAGCTAATGATCCGACCTACAGCTCACACTGCTCGCCTTACTAAGTATGAGAGAGACAGGGGGAGGGCCCGGGTCTTTGCTGCGCCAGTCAAACCACTGGGACAGAAGCCCATGTTCCATGCCGCTCTCCTGGTGGCATCCGAGCGAGATGGTAGTAGGACCTGGGCTTCCTCCTTGCTAGCCGGCTGCCCGGCCCGTGCAACGGGTCGCCTACATTGCCTGGCAGCCGAATGAAGGGCTGCTGCCATGACAGTGACACAATGCAGCAATGCAAGCTAACTCTGCGTTCCCCGTGCACTTACGAAGTGTCCACAGGAACACTGCTAGCTCACTGACAGTGTGTGTGTTCCTGAAACACACAACCAAATTGTTCAAAATCTTCCAGCAGTGCGCCCGTGGCACTTTATCACAGTGAACAGCGGCTCATTCTCCCAGCAGCAGCTCGCTGCAGTGGAGAGGAGGATGCCCTATCCTGTCTCGGCTTCACTTGGCTGCTCCACTGACGACGTGCTCACAGTGACACTGTTGCATGTTGAGCCATCATTGGTGCATTCAAGGACACCACGGATCAACAGACTGTGAAGTATTCCAGGACACCACAGAGCAGCAAGCTGTGGTGCGTTCAAAGACACCAGGGAGCAACCGTCCCTGGTGCGTTCAGGGACACTATGGCCCGTTCGACGTCGGCCCCCCCTTGGGCTAAACTTCCATTTATGGAAAGTTTGGCGGTGGAGAGTACCAAAGATGCGTTGTTCACATGTACACATTTTCATGCAGAATGGCGACGCCGCTGCATGCTAACAAGCTGGGTGGACAGCATCGCTTGTGCACGTCACTTGGTGGTCCACAGGCTGCAGCAGGGGACAGCTGTCAGTGATGCTGCTGTTGGGCCTCAGGGCAGTAGTCCATCAGGTGGACCTCTTGTCGAGGGCTGGCCCCCAACCGAGCGGGTGGAGACCGCACAACAATGTGGTTCAGCAGATCTGAGCTCGATTCGGGAGAGTGGAGGTGGATCTGTTTGCCAACACCCACTGCCCGCTGTGGTTCTCAATTCAGCCGCAGGACAGCCCACCCTTGGGGATGGACGCGTTAGACACGCGCCATTGCCAGAAGGGCTGTTGTTTGCGTCCCCCCCACCCCATCTCATCCCTCCAGTTAGGTGAGGCGGGAACGGTCGTTCATTATTCTGGTAGAAGTGACGCAGCCTACAGTGACAGAGCCCTGGCCTGTACCTATGGTCTGGGGGGCTCATATGCACAATGCTGGTGTTGGACCAGCCTCTCCAGGTTTTTCTCATAAAATTGTGGAGACACAGACTAAGGCTGGTCTATCCGCTGAGGTTGCACAGACCATCCAAACGGCGGGCAGTTTCGCTGTAAAGCTAAGTGGTTGGGCTTTCAGCGTTGATGCATTGAGAGGGAGACGGATCTGCCTACCTGTTCGGTGGGATGCGTTTTCTCTTTCCTGCATGGTCTGATGGAGAAGGGGCAGTCGCGCTGCAGCTATCTCTCCTGTCACAGGGGATTTGGTGACAGAACAGTCTTCACCCACTCCCTCGTGATATGCTTTCTGCAGGGTGTGAGAAGACAGCGATCGGTGTCGTGTCTCTCGGTCCTCAGTAGGACTTGCTGCTTGTGTTGGTGGCTCTAATATCTGCACCTTCTCTTGAATAGCCCTGCACCTTACTCTCGCCTCTGCTAAGAAGGTGAGTGAGCTGTGTGCCTGTCGGTTCACCCTAGCTGCATGCTGGTTCTTGGTGTCCACAGTGCAGCCAGATTGAGACAACACACCTCCTTTGTTCTTAAGAACGTAAGGAGCATGTTCAGGTCCAGGACAATAAATCTGGATGCTTTCTACCCCTCTACCCCACTTAGGGAGCAGGGAGGTGAGAGTGCATCTGTTGTCCATGTGTGCTAGGCTAACGTCCTATGTAGAGCACACAGCCCCCATTCGATGTGCTGGTCAGCTGTTCGTCTGTTTCAGTGATAGTGCAGTCAGTAAAACCCTGTCCAAGAAGAGCCTGCCACTCAGAAGTATGGAAGTGTCTACGACCCTTTTTCAGTGGGGTGTGTGTCGAAGAGATCTGCACAATGGCATCTTGGCCCTTACTGGGCAGACAGTCATCGGGCTACACCCACTGTATCCATAGAGTCCAGTAGAGGGCAGAGCCCTCTACCAATGAGCGTGTGCGTGTTCACTCGCGCAGACTTCAATCCGTTAAAAACTTGAAATTACGTTACCAGTCGCGGTGGATATTTTACAAGCACAGACCAGGTAACATTGAACACAGGGTGCAGATGTTGGTTTCGGCTGTTTTAGTTGTTTGATAGGCTGGATCATTAACAAGCAAGCGGCTCATCTGCTGCCATGATAACGGATCGTGGGTGGAAAAATATGGAAAAAGATGACAGCGTAGTCTGCCGAAGCCTCCCTCCACTGCTTGTTTGGGTGGGTGATTTGCAGGCTGATCAACATCCCGCCCCTCTTGTGACCCATGGTTTGACTATTCAGAGCCAGTGAGCAAGGGACTTTCAAACTAATAATAATAAATAAAAACTGTGTTAATTAATTAATTAATGCGTTAACGTGCCCAGCCCTAATTTTAACAAAAATATCATGTAAAGACATTGTCCAAAATATACCTGTAGGATTGTTTTTATTTTATTTTAGTAAATCTAGTGAAACAAAAAACACTGTGCACGAAATGGATATGGCTTCTATGTCTGTTAAATTATTCAGATGTCTTTTTCTATAAGAGATTTTTGTATAGTACCACTAAGTCCTGAGGATTGTTCTTAGAACAAGTAATTTGAACTGTGAAGGCCATTCTCCGCAAATCATAACCAGTATGATTAGATACTGTGCACACACTGGCCACTTTATTAGGTACACCTGTATAATCTAATGCAATCCAATACAACAGAAGTGCCATAAATTATACTTTTACAAAGCTTATACAATTTAAGTTTTTGTTCACACTGTCAGACACTGTGATAATTCTATTTTATGTTTATATCATTGGTCTTGTAATTCAGTGTAGTGTATGTATGTATGTAACTTGTATTGTGGTGTTTTTTAAAACTTCAGCAAAGAAGTTTGGCGGTTCGATCCTGGGCTCCTCCAGTCTGTATGTTGAAGTGTCTTTGGGCAAGATACTGAACACAAAATTGCTCCAGATGACTGTGCCACATGTGTGTGAATGATTAGTTTCATTCTGATGAGCAGTTGGCACCGTGCATGGTAGCGTCTGCCATCAATGTATGAATGGGATGAATGTGGCATGCAGTGTCAAAGTGATTTGAGTGATCGAGCTACAAAGGCGTTCATTGTCATGCCCATCATCACGTTTTCTTTGCATTTACATTTTACGTATCAACTTTTTTTTAGAAATGGGGTAGAAGGACAGTCCATTTACCATTAAAAGTGTAAGATAACAAAACAAACAATTTCAATCTCTCTAGAAGGGTGTTGTAATACTGCGTGTTTAATCAAGAGATATTTAAGACAGAAATAATATCAATAGCTGTGTTTGCCATATCTTGGTAAATATCTTAAATTACTACTCAAAGAGGGTGGGAGCAAAAAAAGATGAGCAACCTCAATATAAAGACTGACTGTTACCTTCTTTCATGTCAAAAGATCAAAAGCCCTCAGTGGCAACAATGAAGGGGAGATTTGTGTGGTTGTGTTTCCTTACTTTGTCTGCCAGTGTCATCAATATCGCCGCCAGGCAGGGTAGGTCTCTAAATATTGTAGATTCTGTGGAACAGTTTTCAGGATTGGATAAATGATAAATACATTTTTATGCCACATACCACATATGCATGTATAATGTACACCACTGTCTGTAATATTTATTACTTTTCACTTCTAAATAATGCTTAGGAGGTGTAGCCTGGAAGATATCTCATTGCAATAAGACATGTATCATTTAATACATATTTTATTTTCAAAACAGTAACAATAATGCTGCTAACATTTCTTTTTTCATTTTTCAGTTCACAACCATGTCAGCAGCATCTGCAGCACTTGGGGAAGAGAGCACTTCAAGACATTTGATGGTGATGTGTACCAGTTCCCCCGGTTTGTGTGAATACAACCTGGCCTCAGACTGCCACGAGTCCTACCATGAGTTCTCAGTACACATGAAGAGGAAAGAGAATGATGGAAATCCTACAGTCAGTTATGTGGTGGTCACCATCAATGACCTTTTATTCCACCTCACTAAGAGCCAGGTCACTGTGAACAGCGTGCCGTAAGTAAAAACATGTTTTTTGTCCCCAAAATGGAAAAATGTCTGAAAGCAATTACAATTCCGTCTTTTTTATATTTCTGCATTATAATTAAGACAACATTCTCTCTTTCCCAGTGTCAAAATGCCCTACAACGAGGCAGGGGTACAAGTGGAAAATAATGCGGTTTACATCAAGCTCCAATCCAAAGTCGGCATCACTGTCATGTGGAATGGTGATGATGCAGTCATGGTAAAAGTTTTTAACTTTCAATACTGCTGTCTATTAGAACAAATCAAGATATAACATGTAAACACATTGCTCTCTTAAACAATAGATTTAGAATATTATTGCTGGAGGGATCTGTGGCATTCAGTGCAACATTACATTTTTAAAAAATCAAAAGCAATTATTAATTTGAACTACTTTCCACTCAATAAATAGGCCTGAGAACTAAATGGGGTATTTCAAAACCTAGACAAATAAAACCAAATCTGCAATCATCAGTGCTGTAGTATCTTACTTAGATTACAGTAGCTCACGTTATGACAGTATCAAATTACATTGTTTGGTATTTTATGATTAACTAACAATAAAATAAACACTAAATAATAATAAAACAAGAAAACTTGTTTTAACCCTTTGTTGTGTCTGTTGTAGGTGGAACTCGATCGTGACTATGTTAATCGTACCTGTGGACTATGTGGAGACTTCAATGGTGTTTCTGTCTTCAATGAGTTTATTCTTAATGGTTTGTTATTCACTGAAAACAATGTATTTAAAGTATTAGGAAACCTAAACTTCAAGACTATTTTACAATAAGTCATCAGTTGTATCTTTGACATTTCACACTGAAATTACAATCAACTGCAGGTCGCAAAATGAGCCCCATTGAGTTTGGCAACAATCAGAAAGTCCATCATCCAGATGACGATTGTGAAGACCTTTATGAAGAGGAAGATGAGTCAAAGGAGGTTTTTACTGTGCCAGATTCATGCAAGGAGTTTGTGAGTTTATTATCCAACTAGTTTTGGCAATGGTGACATTTAGTAGCATTTTCAACACAGTAACTTTGTCTCTATTACCCATCTATTTTTACCTTTTAGCAAACCACATGTGACAAGATGCTGCATTCAGAGTCCTGGAGCTCCTGCACCAAACTGATTAACCCTGAACCTTACATCCAGGCCTGTGTGCAGGACATGTGTGGCTGCAACAACAGTACAAGTGACTTCTGTGTCTGCAGCACGCTTTCGGAGTTGTCTCGACAGTGCTCCCATGCAGGAGGGCAGCCTCCCAACTGGAGGACACCTCAGTTCTGTGGTAATATTTACATTTTATACAGTATGGGGTGGAAAGAATACTAAAGAACTAAGTACACTTACTGGTGTAAAGATATAGTACAAGTACAAGTAGAATTGAAAACCAATCATTACAAATGTATTCTGAATAAAAGTTAGGAGTAACTGTTGTTAGAGCAGTATTACAGGTGAGTTTTCTCATGCAATTCTGTGTTTTTGGTGCCATATTGATGACCCTTATTGGTCATATTAGTAAGCTGAAAATGAAGACTCAGCAAAGCTCAACACTAAACTAGTATTTATGTAAAATATGCACATTAGAAAATTGGTATATTAAGCAAAACACTGATGTTACTTAATCTAGCATTTTTGGACATCAGTGGAATTACATAACATATATACAGATGTGGACAAAATTGTTGGTACTCTTCCATTAAAGAAAGAAGAATCCACAGTGGTCCCTGAAATAACTTGAAACTGAGAAAAGTAGTGATAAATTAAAATTTATGGAAAATTAACTGAAAAAAGAATTATGTTACCCTGGAAAAAAGGAAATAATTTGACCATAGGGACATGTTAAACTAAGGTGTGTTCTGCATTAGCATTAGCATCATGTGTCATGGTGTGTACCACACTGAACATGGACCACAGAAAACTAAGGAGAGAGCGGTCTCAGGAGATCAATCTCCAAGCACCTTGATGTTCCTGTGACTACAGTTGTACATATTATTCAGATGTTTAAGGTCCACGGGACTGTAGCCAACCTCCCTGAATGTGGCTGCAAGAGGAAAATTGATGACAAATCGGTAAGACGTACTGTATAATAGGAATGGTATCAAAAGAGCCCAGAACAGCTTCTACAGATGTTAGAGGTGAACTCCAAGGTCAAGGTACATCAGGGTCAGATCACACCATCCGTGACTGTTTGAGCCAAAGTGGACGTAATAGAAGACGACTGAGGAGGACACCACAGATTTGAAATGCAACTTGACAAGCCACAAAGCTTGTGGGAGAATGTCTTTTGGACAGATGAGACAAAACTGGAGCTGTTTGGCAAGTCTCATCAGCTCTGAAATGAACCATATAAAAGGAAAAAAATAATAATAATAAAAACACTGTAGCTACTTTGAAGCATGGAGGAGGCTGGGTTATGTTTTATGGCTGCTTTGCTGCATCAGTACAGGATACAATGAAATCTCAAGATTAAGCCATTCTGGAGAGAAATGCGCTGCCCAGCGTCAGGAAGCTCGGTCTCAGACACAGGTCATGGGTCCTCCAACAGGATAATGACCCAAAACACATAGCTAATGGCATGGCTAAGAGCAAAACATTGGACTATTCTGAGGTGGCCTTCTATGAGCCCTGATCTCAATCCTATTGAACATCTGTGGAAGGAGCTGAAACATTCTGGAGAAGGCACTCTTCAAACCTGAAACACCTGGAGCAGTTGCTTATAAGGAGTTGACTAAAATACCTGTTGACAAGTGCAGAACGCTCATTTAGAGTTACAGAAATTTCTTGATTAATTGCTTGATTGCAGTGACTGCCTCAAAAGGTTGTGCAACAAAATATTAAAGGTTCAGTGTGTAATATTTCTCAGAATCTATCAACAAATGCAATATAAGATCCATAACTATGTTTTCAGTGGTTTGTAAACACCTTACACGATAGACCATTATGTTTTTATTACCTTGAATGAGTCATTTACATCTCCATAACCGCCCTTCCATGGACGTCACCACTTTGCATCGTCATGTTTCTACAGTAGCTGAAAACGGACAAACAGTGCTACAGAGCACGTTTCTTGTTCTACTTCTTGTAGAATTCAGGCAGTGCAGACACTCATCATGTCATGGGTAGGCTGAGTGAAGACTGAGGTGTGGACCCAAATGCAGACCAAAAGGCGAGGATGCAGTTCAAAAATGTATTAAAGCAAAACTTAAACTGAAACAGGCTTACATGGAGCTCAAGGCAAATGTCCAAACAAAGGGGGATCCAAACTGAACATAATCCACAGGGAATCCAAGAAGCACTGACAGAGAAATCCAGAACAAGGGAATAAACCAGACATCCAGGGGGAGCATGTAAGAACACTCAACATAGACGACAACTCAGGTGAATGACATGAGCTAATCAGGCACAACAGACACACAGTGAAACAGCAAGGCAACCAGGCAGGAAACAAATACAGAACATACAGTAATAAAGAATAAACCGACACATAAGCCGACACAGATCCATAAACACAAGTACAAAAACAAAGGCAGAGGTAACAAACTAATAAGCAAGACAACAATACACAAACTAACAAGAACACTAGGCACAGAAGATTACAAAATAAAAACAGGAAGCAAAGTACACGGAAACACCCAAGGACACAGATCAAAATAATAAAACACAGAAGTACACAGACCAGGAGTGACACTAAACATGAACTAAAGCACAGAACTAAGGCACTGGACTAAGAACTGAGGCTAAGAACTAAAATACATTTACATTTAGTCATTTGGCAGACGCTTTTATCCAAAGCGACTTACATTTTAGTAACAACATACAAGCATCAACAGAGCATCAAAAACAGATCTAGAACTGACAATACATACTAGTAAGAGCAGCAATAAATACTAGTAAGAGCTCATAGTACATCTCACATCAATGGGGTAAATACCTAGGGAAGGAAGTAAGAGTAATCAAAAAGTGCATCAATACAAGATAATTGTAGGGGATAGAAGAAGAAGAGCACAGGAAGTGCATGTTAGAGGTTAGGAGTTAGAGGTGTTATAAGAGGAAGTGTTCCTCAAAAGAGATGAGTTTTCAAGAGCTTCTTGGAGTTAGAGAGGGACGCCCCTGCTCTGATGGCGTGTGGTAGCTCGTTCCACCATCGTGGTGTCACAGATGAGAATAGCCGGGACTGGGATTGCTTTGTGTGAAGGGGATGGCAGAGCCAGTGGAGGAGCATAGGGGCCAAGAAGGAACGTAAGTTTGTATTATGGAGTTTAGGTAGATGGGTGCAGACCCAGTAGTCACTCTGTATGCAAGCATTAGTGACTTAAATTTGATTCTGGAGGTCACGGGGTGCCAGTGGAGGTCACTGAGTAATGGAGTGACATGAGTCCTTTTGGGCAGATCAAAAACCAGACGCACTGCTGTGTTCTGAACCATTTGTAAGGGTTTCACCGCACAAGCTGGAAGACCTGCTAGGAGGGCATTGCAATAGTCGAGGCGAGAGATAACCATGGCCTGTACCAGAAGCTGGGTGGCATACTGAGTGAGGTAGGGCCTGATTTTCCTTAACTACAAGGCTTAGAACTAAAATAAGAGACAAGACAGATACTAAGAAAACTTAAACATGCAAATGAACAAAAGACTAAACTTAGCTGCAAAGCTCTAAACATGACAAGATCAAATAAAGCTATAGAAACACAGAATCCAAAACCAAACCCATGAAAACAGATGTGGAATAAATAAAATAATTAACAAGGCTACACAGAGAAACACAGAACCAAAACAGGAAAACATGAACACAAACCACACTCCTAACACATCACTATGATGAATATGTATGTTAGAAGAAGAAGAAGAAGAAAGAAGAAGAAGTAGTAGTAGACTCCAAGGGTCAGAGCAATTTTTTCAACCATTAGATGGCAGATGAGAATATAAGTTTTCTCTCTTCAACAAATGGATTCTGCAGCGAATATTTCTCAGATCACGGCATGTGTTGCACTGTTTTTGGGGAATCCCCTTTTCTGATGGCTCTTTCAGAGGTGTGTCAAGCAGGCTACAGACTCTTTTAATGTCGTTCAGAATTTTTCAAAGTAAAAGCTCATTACAGTAAACAAGGCAAAACATGTCAGTAACTGTTGCTGTCGTGATTGAGATCTATTTCAGCACCACTATCAAAGCATTTATTTATTTATATTTTTTGCCGCCATCAAAGCACCATAATCTGGCAGCAGGCCGGATATTATTGCTGGCGGGCAGTTTTGGCGATGGTCCATAATCACTGAGAGAATTAATGTGTTTCTCTTGTCAATGTTTGTATAAACTATTCTCTGCTGTCTCAGAAGAGACACCTTTTGTGCTGTTGTCAGCCACCGTAGCTGTCCTCTGCTCTTTGAAAGGTTAGGGGGCAGTGGTAGACTGGATAGATGGTAGCAATTCACAACCCTTGCCACTAGATGCAACTAAATCTTACACACTGAACATTTAAGTTTAGGGTACCATAATTTTTGTCCTGGCCAGTTTCATTAGTTTGTTTTTGAAAATGATGAACCACAATTCAAAAGCAATGTCATCAGTTAATTTTCAGTAACGGTTATTTCAGGACCATTGCGTTTTTTTCTTTCTTTAACCGAAGGATACCAGCAATTTTGTCCATGCCTGTAGGTGATATCAAGCTGTAGCTACACAGACCTGTTAACTGGATCCATTCATTATCGGTCTTAGTTTTCTCAGTCTTTTTTTCTGTAGTCTATCCCTTTGCCTCTCTGTGGATTTTAATTGTACCGTATCTTCGCAGCTAAACAGTGCCCATTCAGCATGGTTTATAAAGAGAGTGGTTCCCCTTGTATGGATACATGCAAATATCTAGACACAAGTTCACTGTGTGAGGACCACAAAATGGACGGCTGCTTCTGTCCTAATGGTTAGTGGTGTTTACATGTGCACACATTTCTTACTACATTGTTTCCTGTTTTATTACCTGTAATATGCACTTTGTCTTGCTCATGTCACATGTGTTTATCTCAGGAACTGTGTTTGATGATATTTCCATGAGAGGGTGCATTGCTCAATCTGAATGTCAGTGCAAGCACGACAAAATCTATAACCCTGGTGAGGTTTATCAACAGGTCGGGAAAAATTGGTATGTTACACGTTTAATAATGTAAACAAAATGTATTTGGACTCCCTAATCATGTCTTTTTGTAAACTCATATTATTTGGGTTGTTTCAGTACATGTTTTGAGGGTAGATGGGCTTGTGAGAGCCTTCAGACTCCTGCTACATGTGCAGTTGAAGAGGGTTCACATGTAACTACATTTGATGGGAAAACTTACACTTTCCATGGAGACTGTTTCTACACCCTAGCCAAGGTGGAAAGCAAGGTGAATCAGTCATTGCTTTCTTCTATTAAATGTGACACATATATAATCTGCTGATGATTAAATATTTTGCTAGGTATTTAATTCTGCTCATACTATGTGTATTTCAGGATGATGCAAGTCCAAATTTTACCATCCGGGCCCAGTTGGTGCCATGTAGACACCTAGAGTCTGACACTTGTCTTAAGAACCTTAAAATCCTGCTGAACAATGACAAAAACAACGTGAGTTAAATCCTGTCAGTTTAGAAGTAGTCATTTATAAATTCATACTGATATCTACTACACTCTAATGATGTATTTTGTTTTTATTCAGGTATTAGCGTTCACTTCAGATGGCACAGTAAGGCAGAATATGCAAAATCTTACTTTGCCACACCACTCAGGTGGGTCACACAATAACAAAACCCTGAATTATACATATTATTGTCTTATTTCATTGATGCTACAAAATCAGCAAATGATCTGACTGTTTTTGGTATTTGTCTTTATTCAAAGGTGACATCAACATATTTCATGCTTCATCCTTTCACATCTTGCTCCAGACCAGTTTTGGGTTGCAAATTCAGGTCCAGCATGTGCCCGTCATGCAAGTCTATGTCAGCTTGGTACAGAGCTACAGAGCAAAGGCACGCGGTAAGTTTTACATTTGTCTTAAAACGAAATATTGGTATCATATAACATATGACATACACTGTAAATTTAGTTCTTACAGACTGTAGGTGTCCAATTATACAGTCTATCTGATAAGGAAGTTAGAGTAATTATGATGTTTTATTTTTGTGTTGTTTGTTTGAAAGTGAAACTAATTTGGCCAGCAGGGTTGACTCCGCTGGGATAAAAGTCAATGACAGAAGACAACAAAATACAACTGTAATGAAAATGGGTCAACTGGAAAAACATGCACGAACCTACAATAAAATGACAATACTGTTATGCACATTATAAAATAAAAATCCTCAATATATGTTCGCCAAGAAATGCCAAACTGAAAGACAAGATTGACCATGAAATATTTGGTGTCTTTAGGTTTATGTGGGAACTACAACATGGTCCTGTCTGATGACATGAAGACTCCACAGGGGATTGTGGAGGGAACAGCAGCAACTTTTAGTAACTCCTGGAAGGCTAACTTCATGTGCCGAGACAGAGAGGAAAGACTTGATGACCCCTGTGCCCTCAGTGTGGAAAATGGTAAATGTGTATTTCTTTGACTATTATTCTCTGCTTGAAACTGTTTTTCTGTAATGTAATGTTATATTTACACCCATTGAACAGTGCAACACATTTGAACTCATTAAAAATTTTAAAGTTAACTGTTCTCCACTTTTAGAGAATTACGCCAAACACTGGTGCGCCTTGCTACTAAGTCCAAACAGTACCTTTGCACAGTGCCATTCAGTGATGGATCCTGAGATGTACTACAAGGTACAGCAAAACCTTTCTATTTATCTTTCACTGAATTACATTTTGATGAGTATAATTTTGTAAACGTGTTTGCTCTCATCTGCAGCGATGTACTTACGCTAGCTGTAACTGTGAAAAGAGTGAGGCCTGCCTCTGTGCGTCTTCTCCTCCTACACAAGAGCTTGTGCATCAAAGGGAGTGTTCCTGACAGACTGGAGACAGAATGTTTGCGGTAAGTATTTATTTCTTTGTTATGTTTTGGTAAAGTTGAGAGATGATTTCTGGAGTTTGATGAACATCTTCCCTTTCATCAGTTAGACATAAAACTATCTAAGTAATCAACTTTGCATTGTGCACAAACAGATAAGTACACAAGGAGCTGTCCAGCATCTCAGATCTTCTCTTACAAAAATCAGAGATGCCAGCTGACTTGTAGATCGTTGGGCGAAAAGCAACAAAGCTGCACTTCTGACTTCTTGCCTGTGGATGGCTGCTCCTGCCCTGAGGGTCTCTACCTAAATGAAGATGACTTGTGCGTCCCCATGGCAAAATGCCCCTGCTACTATAATGAAGTCTACATCCAGGCAGGAAAGTCCATCAGCATGAAAGATGACCAATGGTGAGTCAGCTGTTTGCAATTTCATTTGACTTCATATCAGTTTTTCTAGACTAAGGTTTTAGCATGATTGTAGCGTGTGTTGTATGTGAGATTAACAGAAACTAAATTGTATCTTTGTGTTGCATCTGATTTCTTTGGGTCTATTTCTAGTATGTGCACCAATGGAATACTTCATTGCCATTCTCTAAGAGTCCGTTCAGCAAGTATGCTTTTGATTTTTATTTTTCTATGCTGATGTTTTCAATTTACATATATATATATCACATTAAATTGGTGTGTCCTTCTTTGTCTATTTTTACAGCATGCCCTTTTCCAAAAGTATTCTTTAATTGCTCCACTGCGGGTGCAGGAGAGCTTGGACTGCAATGTGCTCAAAGTTGTTTAAATCTGAAGAACAATGATTGTGTGAGTTATTTTTTCTGCTGTCTAAATTGACATATTATTCTCAAATAACCTCATCTACTGTTATTTCCTGAATTTAATGGTGAACAGTTTGTTAAAATAAGGGTCCCAATTTTAACAAGTGGTTTATCAGTGAAGTGTCTGAAATACACTGCGCTCTGTCTCCTGTATGAAACATCTGGAGCCTCACTGCGCTGCATTATTATTAACTATGATGAACCAGTTGTGGGTCACATCTCTCTCTTCCAGGTTCTTTATTATGTGTTGTATTAATGTATGAGTGTTTTCTTTTACAATTTACTTTCATTATTAGAGAGGCTGCTGTCAGTCATTTTAAACGTTTGGTGGGGGGTGGGCAGTGCTGCCACCACAACCCCAGCAAACCACTGCAAAGAACAATGAGTTGGCTAGTCTAGACTTGTAGTAGCCTGGTGCACACACTGAAGAACTGATACTCCTAAAGGTCTTCTCTGTCCTTTCCTGTAGAAAGCCTTTGTTTTATCCAACCAGTCCACATTGTTGTGTACTCCCAGGAATTTGTAGTAATCCACCACCTCTATTCCTTGCCACTGAATTTTTGAGGGCTTCCTGCTCCATCTGAAGTCCATTAACAGGTCCATTGTCTTGCATATGTTGAGCTCTAGGTGTTTGTCCTCAGACTGCCTGATGGCATCAGCCACTCTTATTCAGGGAGTCTTTCAGCAGGGGTTTAGGTGCTTTGGCACAAGCCTCTCAAAGATCTACCTGAGGTGTGGATTGGGGTAGGGGCTGAGTACAAACCTGTTGAAAAACACCTCATTTGAATGGTTTTTGTGCCCTTCCACCCCTGGGCACGACTGCTTGTAGAACTCACAGGTAGATAGTAAGGTCTCAGTCCCACAGCCAGCAGATAACCTTCTTCACAGTTATATTCCTCAGGTTCCACCATTTGGAGTTCACAAAGATGGCTAGACCTCCTCCTTTCTTGTTACCGTTCCGTTTTCCCCAGTGTGCCCGATCCCTTAAAAGGCAGTCAGCCTGACCGAATAGTCTTAAATGTTCCCGCTCAGCTAGGTCTCCACACTGCACTGTCTGTACTTTCACTGGGTCGTGAGCTCTTCCATCTTGTTTGCCAGCGATCTCTTGTTCTCCATGACTAACGATGGAAAGCAAGGTTTAAATCTCCACCTTCTTATGGATGCTGGACAGAGAGGACCCAAAAGCCACGCTCAGGTGAAAGAGGATTTATTGAGGGAAAAGGGGGTTGAGGAAGTGGAGGTGAGGGAGAGGTGGATGCCGGGGGGAACACGGGCACGGGGGACCGAGGAGCAAGTAGGACAGAGGGGGCTGAGGCAGAGGAGCCGAGGAGCAGTTGGGGCCAAGGAGGCTGGACGAGGGAACTGGGAGGCACCGGGGACAGAGGAAGAGAGGAGGCACGGGAGGACTGACCGGGGGGTTGGTGGAGGAGTGTGGTGGCAGGCTGACTGTGAGGCACGAGGGGAAGCGGAGAGGGTGCCGTGGAAGACGCCCGAGGGGAAAGGGCAGGCAGGCAGGCAAGCCCAGCTGACTAGACGAAGGACGGAGGTGAGTGGACCTGGGGAAAGACAGACAGACAGACAGACAGACAGGATTAGTAACAGGGAAAACAGGAAACCGGTAACAGAGATGTGGCAAAAGGCTTGAGGCAAGCAGTGGCACCAGGTCAGGAGCAACGACCATCAAGCAGCGATTGTGTGGAGAACCGGGTTTGAAATACTGGCAGGGATGGAGTTGATTGCTGGCAGGTGTGGCAGGCAGAGGAGGTGGCTGACGAGGTGCAGGTATGGATCGTCAGTTAGGCTCAGGAGCAGAGAGAGAGAGGGAGAACACAAGCAAGGAGAGCAGAGGAGACACAGACCAGCAGGCCAAAAACACAAGGGAAAAAATAGAATCACAAGAAAAAAGGAGAAATAAACAGGACACTCACCATCAGCCAGGCTGCCACCACAACACACCTACCTTTCCGGCTTCTCACATGCCTTCATTCCCCCTCTCTCTTTCCGCGTTGTCTTCATTGTCATTCCACTGGTATGTCTGTTGGCGGGGCCCTTGCTTGTACCCAATATGAGAGAGAGAATAAAGTGATTCTCTCATATAGGGCAGCATTCTCTGCCTGGTTGTCGTCGAGCTGTGACACATGCCGACGTATAGCTTAACTAAACTGATTTAAATCGTAACATGTTTTACAACTTCAGCGTGAATAGGTTTGAAAAGTTGAAAATAAAGTTAAATAATGTTAGGGCTAGAGCTTTGAGTAGTAGTAGTAGTAGTAATGTTTTCTTGTTTTCTATCACTGTGATCTCTCCATCTACCCAGGACTCCCCAGAGTGTGCATCTGGCTGTCAGTGTCCAGGTGGCCTTATTGATGATGGAAAAGGCTCCTGTGTAAAAGTCCATGAATGTCCATGTCAGCATGATGGGCATCTTTATGCCCCTGGAACACAAATCCGTAACCAGTGCAACAGCTGGTATGAACTTGTTTTTAATCACATGTCCAATGTAGCAGTGTAAACAAATATCATATTTGCCTGCATGTTTTACTATTATTTTTAACAATTTCTGATACATCTAGTACCTGCAAAAGTGGAAATTGGGAGTGCACAGAGAAAAGATGTCCGGGAACTTGCATTATTTATGGGAGTGGTCACTACAATACATTTGATCAGCGATCATATGGGTTTCAAGGACATTGTGACTCTGTTGCTGTTAAGGTAAACAAAGCATGTCAAAATCTTCCATGATTTTATGTTCTAGCTTTTCTTTAATAATGTTAGTATTCTGGATTAGTAAAGGCCAATCTGAAGTTTGATTTGATCAATGGTCTCATGTCTACTATGAAGTGAACTTGCAAAATGTTTAATGAATATCTCTTTTTTAAGAACAACTGTGGCAATAAAACAGTGCAAGGCAAGTTTGGTGTTATCACAGAAAATGTACCATGTGGAACTACAGGCACCACATGCTCTAAAACTGTTAGAATCCATCTGGGGGTAAGACAAAATACCAGCACCTGATATTCTATGCCTAACATATTGAGCACAATTTAACGAATTATGTCATATATCAAGCTGCATTTTTACAATCACAATGAAAGCAACAAAATCTCTTTAACATTGCAGCGAATGGAAGTCAAACTATCAAAGGGTCACTATAAGGAAGAGGACCTTGGAGATGGCCCTCAGATTCAGTACAAAATAAGGAGGGTTGGGTTGTATCTGGTTATAGAATCTGCCATTGGTCTGACAGTGATGTGGGATCGCAAAACAACTGTTCGCATCCTCCTTGAACCACAGCACAAAGTGAGTCACAGTCATTGTTGCAGTGATGATGACTGAAATTTCTCAGAGTAAGAGCTTAGAGTTTTGATATGATGGACCATCTTTTTCTCATCTGTAGTTTATCTGTCTTTGCTGATCATTTTCTTCACTTAAAAAGCTTTAGGAGAACAATGGCACTGATGTACAGCATGTACACATTGCAGAAAAAGTCCTTAAGGAACTTATTCCAATATTTATTACATATGATGTAAATACAATAGAATATTGTGCTTGTCAACGTAATACAGGTTTATTGATGCCTGAAAAATGCTTGTTTCTTGTATCGATATAGAATATTGTTATTATTATTTATAACTGATTAAGTTTGTTCGGCCATACAGGGAGAGGTATGTGGCCTATGTGGAGATTTTGATGGTGATGGACAGAATGACTTCACCACCCAGGGTCAGCTGGCAGTGAGCAATCCATTAGAGTTTGCAAACAGTTGGAAAGTGTCAAGCAGCTGCCCAGATGTGGAAATGAATGTTGACCCTTGTGGAGCAAGACCCACTAGACATCACTGGGCAAAAATGATGTGCAACATTATAATTGCAAAGGATGGTACTTTCAAAGACTGCCACAATAAGGTAATGGCAGATTTCTTTCTAATTTATCACAATATAAAGTTAAATGATTGAAAACATCAAACAGATTTTTTTTATCTGTCAAATATTTTGATAACCGAACAGGTAGATTCCCATCCATTTTATGAAAACTGTGTGACAGACTCATGTGCCTGCGACTCTGGAGGAGACTGTGAGTGTTTCTGCACAGCAGTTGCATCTTATGCTCAAGCTTGTAATGAGGCCGGTGTCTGTGTTGCATGGAGAACTCCAGAAATCTGTCGTAAGTAAACAACTATTATCCCTCAGATTAAACTGCGGTTTCCAAGACCAGTTTTTAGATCCCCAAATTCTTATGACACCAGCATTTAGAGATTTGATATGTGATGTATATATGAGAATGGTTTGCTCTTCTTTTCTTTATAAAAATGACTAAATCTAATATTCTGCCCTGTTAATTTTTTTAAATTTGTTTAATGTGAATGGACACCAAATCTAATGAAAGCTGACATATACGACAGCAACTCTGAGAGCATCTGTGCATGCTTTGTTAAAAGTATATTTTAAACACCGCAGTGATTTGTGTAGTTAAATATAAATGTAATTTTGTAATATAAAATCTTATTTGTTAATGGCCTAAAATAAATATAATGGAAGAACACACCAGATGGAATTTGAAGTTTGTGTTCTCAGTGACAATTAAGACATTAATCTACTTATTTTAATTTAACAATTTAAATGAACATGGCCTTTATTTAAAACATAACATCCATTCTATCTTCTATTCTAGCTGTCTTTTGTGACTACTACAACAGCCCAGGTGAATGCAAGTGGCACTACAACGCTTGCCACACACCTTGCTATAAGACCTGCTTCAATCCACAAGGAAATTGCAGCAACTCTTTACCCCACCTGGAAGGTAAAAGGTTAACTCACAATGGCTCACCTTACCACTGATTAATTTGCTAATAAAAATCTTAATATTTCCTTATGTTGAACTGCTCCTGTTTGACAAACTTGTGACACATTAAGAAACTATGTTTACAAACAGCCTGTCCCAGTTGTCAAACGTTAAAATACAATCTAAATAGTAACTTTTACTGCCTGAAAATAATGTGTGATGTTTCCACTGTGCTTTTGCAGGTTGTTACCCTGTATGCCCAGAAGACAAGCCCATATTTGATGAGGAGAACCGGACATGCGTGGTCCGATGTAAAGGTTGCTTTTACAATGGAACTAGATATAAGGAAGGTCAAGTTATTTACAACGTGACTGAACATTCGGGAATGTGCAACATTGCAAAGTGCATAGATGAAACAGTGATATTTGAAAATGAAATCTGCCCACCCAAGGTGCCTATTATTGTCATCACTACAACTACTGAACCTACTACTACAAATGAAGCGCCAACTACTACCACAAGGTCTACAACACCACCTACTGAACCTAGTACTACAACTGAAGTTCCAACTACAACCACAGAATCTACAACACCAGTTCCAACCACAACAACATCTAAATCTACAACACCAACAGAACCGACTACTACAACTGAAGCGACAACTACAACCACAAGATCTACAACACCACTAACTAAACCTACAACTACAACTGAAGCGACAACTACAACAACACCAAAGACTACAACAACACCAACTGAATCTACTGCTACAACTGAAGTGCCAACTACAACCACAATGTCTACAACACCACCTACTAAACCTACAACAATACCAACTGAATCTACTACTACAACTGAAGCGACAACTACAACCACAATGTCTACAACACCACCTACTAAACCTACAACACCAACTAAACCTACAACTACAACTGAAGTTCCAACTACAACCACAGAATCTACAACACCAGTTCCAACCACAACAACATCGAAATCTACAACACCAACTGAACCTACTACTACTACTGAAGCGACAACTACAACAACACCAAAGACTACAACAACACCAACTGAATCTACTGCTACCACTGAAGTGCCAACTACATCCACAATGTCTTCAACACCACCTACTAAACCTACAACAACACCAACTGAATCTACTACTACAACTGAGGTGCCAACTACAACCACAGAATCTACAACAACACCAGTCACAGTATCTACGACTCCTTCAACAACTACTCCTGCTCCCTGTAATACTAAAATGAATAGATGTGAGTGGTCAGAGTGGTATGATGTGTATGACCCAAAAAATGACAACAGTGACTTGGAAACATATGAGAACATCAGAAATAGCGGTAAACAGGTATGTCAAGATCCTAGCAACATTGAATGTGGATCGACAGTTGACACTAGGAAAAACTTCAATGACTTTGTGAGTGAAACTGGCCAAGTTGTTACTTGTGATCTGAAAAATGGTTTAACATGTCAACAAAAGGACCAGATAAGTCCTCCACTGAAGTGCTTTAACTATAGGATCAGAGTACAATGTTGTAAAATGGTAGATGAACCATGTACAACTACTCCCGTCACTACTAAACCTAGTACTACAACTGAAGTTCCAACTACAACCACAATGTCTACAACACCACATACTGAACCTACTACAACAACTGAAGTTCCAACTTCAACCACAATGTCTACAACACCACCTACTAAACCTACAACAACACCAACTGAATCTACTGCTACAACTGAAGTGCCAACTACAACCAATGTCTACAACACCACATACTGAACATACTACTACAACAACTGAATCTACTACTACAACTGAAGTGCCAACTACAACCACAATGTCCACAACACCACATACTGTACCTACAACTACAACTGAAGTTCCAACTACAACCACAGAATCTACAACACCAGTTCCAACCACAACAACATCTAAATCTACAACACCAACTGAACCTACTGCTACAACTGAAGCGCCAACTACATCCACAATGTCTACACACCACCTACTAAACCTACAACAACAACAACTGATCTACTACTACAACTGAAGTGCCAACTACAACCACAATGTCCACAACACCAACTAAACCTACAACTACAACTGAAGTTCCAACTACAACCACAGAATCTACAACACCAGTTCCAACCACAACAACATCGAAATCTACAACACCAACTGAACCTACTACTACTACTGAAGCGACAACTACAACAACACCAAAGACTACAACAACACCAACTGAATCTACTGCTACCACTGAAGTGCCAACTACATCCACAATGTCTTCAACACCACCTACTAAACCTACAACAACACCAACTGAATCTACTACTACAACTGAGGTGCCAACTACAACCACAGAATCTACAACAACACCAGTCACAGTATCTACGACTCCTTCAACAACTACTCCTGCTCCCTGTAATACTAAAATGAATAGATGTGAGTGGTCAGAGTGGTATGATGTGTATGACCCAAAAAATGACAACAGTGACTTGGAAACATATGAGAACATCAGAAATAGCGGTAAACAGGTATGTCAAGATCCTAGCAACATTGAATGTGGATCGACAGTTGACACTAGGAAAAACTTCAATGACTTTGTGAGTGAAACTGGCCAAGTTGTTACTTGTGATCTGAAAAATGGTTTAACATGTCAACAAAAGGACCAGATAAGTCCTCCACTGAAGTGCTTTAACTATAGGATCAGAGTACAATGTTGTAAAATGGTAGATGAACCATGTACAACTACTCCCGTCACTACTAAACCTAGTACTACAACTGAAGTTCCAACTACAACCACAATGTCTACAACACCACATACTGAACCTACTACAACAACTGAAGTTCCAACTTCAACCACAATGTCTACAACACCACCTACTAAACCTACAACAACACCAACTGAATCTACTGCTACAACTGAAGTGCCAACTACAACCACAATGTCTACAACACCACATACTGAACATACTACTACAACAACTGAATCTACTACTACAACTGAAGTGCCAACTACAACCACAATGTCTACAACACCACATACTGAACCTACTACTACAACTGAAGTTCCAACTACAACCACAGAATCTACAACACCAGTTCCAACCACAACAACATCTAAATCTACAACACCAACTGAACCTACTGCTACAACTGAAGCGCCAACTACATCCACAATGTCTACAACACCACCTACTAAACCTACAACAACAACAACTGAATCTACTACTACAACTGAAGTGCCAACTACAACCACAATGTCCACAACACCAACTAAACCTACAACTACAACTGAAGTTCCAACTACAACCACAGAATCTACAACACCAGTTCCAACCACAACAACATCTAAATCTACAACACCAACTGAACCTACTACTACTACTGAAGCGACAACTACAAAAACACCAAAGACTACAACAACACCAACTGAATCTACTGCTACAACTGAAGTGCCAACTACATCCACAATGTCTACAATACCACCTACTAAACCTACAACAACACCAACTGAATCTACTACTACAACTGAGGTGCCAACTACAACCACAGTATCTACAACAACACCAGTCACAGTATCTACGACTCCTTCAACAACTACTCCTGCTCCCTGTAATACTAAAATGAATAGATGTGAGTGGTCAGAGTGGTATGATGTGTATGACCCAAAAAATGACAACAGTGACTTGGAAACATATGAGAACATCAGAAATAGCGGTAAACAGGTATGTCAAGATCCGAGCAACATTGAATGTGGATCGACAGTTGACACTAGGAAAAACTTCAATGACTTTGTGAGTGAAACTGGCCAAGTTGTTACTTGTGATCTGAAAAATGGTTTAACATGTCAACAAAAGGACCAGATAAGTCCTCCACTGAAGTGCTTTAACTATAGGATCAGAGTACAATGTTGTAAAATGGTAGATGAACCATGTACAACTACTCCCGTCACTACTAAACCTAGTACTACAACTGAAGTTCCAACTACAACCACAGAATCTACAACACCGGTTCCAACCACAACAACATCTAAATCTACAACTCCAACTGAACCTACTACTACAACTGAAGTGACAACTACAATCACAAGATCGACAACACCACTAACTAAACCTACTGCTACAACTGAAGCGACAACGATAACAACACCAAAGACTACAACAACACCAAGTGAATCTACTGCTACAACTGAAGCGCCAACTACATCCACATGTCTACAACACCACCTACTAAACCTACAACAACACCAACTGAACCTACTACTACAACTGAAGTGCCAACTACAACCACAATGTCCACACACCACATACTGTACCTACAACTACAACTGAAGTTCCAACTACAACCACAGAATCTACAACACCAGTTCCAACCACAACAACATCGAAATCTACAACACCAACTGAACCTACTACTACTACTGAAGCGACAACTACAACAACACCAAAGACTACAACAACTCCAATTGAATCTACTGCTACAACTGAATTGCCAACAACATCCACAATGTCTACAACACCACCTACTAAACCTACAACAACACCAACTAACCTACTGCTACAACTGAAGCGACAACTACAACCACAGAATCTACAACAACACCAGTCACAGTATCTACGACTCCTTCAACAACTACTCCTGCTCCCTGTAATACTAAAATGAATAGATGTGAGTGGTCAGAGTGGTATGATGTGTATGACCCAAAAAATGACAACAGTGACTTGGAAACATATGAGAACATCAGAAATAGCGGTAACAGGTATGTCAAGATCCGAGCAACATTGAATGTGGATCGACAGTTGACACTAGGAAAAACTTCAATGACTTTGTGAGTGAAACTGGCCAAGTTGTTACTTGTGATCTGAAAATGGTTTAACATGTCAACAAAGGACCAGATAAGTCCTCCACTGAAGTGCTTTAACTATAGGATCAGAGTACAATGTTGTAAAATGGTAGATGAACCATGTACAACTACTCCCGTCACTACTAAACCTAGTACTACAACTGAAGTTCCAACTACAACCACAGAATCTACAACACCGGTTCCAACCACAACAACATCTAAATCTACAACTCCAACTGAACCTACTACTACAACTGAAGTGACAACTACAATCACAAGATCGACAACACCACTAACTAAACCTACTGCTACAACTGAAGCGACAACGATAACAACACCAAAGACTACAACAAACCAAGTGAATCTACTGCTACAACTGAAGCACCAACTACATCCACAATGTCTACAACACCACCTACTAAACCTACAACAACACCAACTGAACCTACTACTACAACTGAAGTGCCAACTACAACCACAATGTCCACAACACCACATACTGTACCTACAACTACAACTGAAGTTCCAACTACAACCACAGAATCTACAACACCAGTTCCAACCACAACAACATCGAAATCTACAACACCAACTGAACCTACTACTACTACTGAAGCGACAACTACAACAACACCAAAGACTACAACAACTCCAATTGAATCTACTGCTACAACTGAATTGCCAACAACATCCACAATGTCTACAACACCACCTACTAAACCTACAACAACACCAACTAAACCTACTGCTACAACTGAAGCGACAACTACAACCACAGAATCTACAACAACACCAGTCACAGTATCTACGACTCCTTCAACAACTACTCCTGCTCCCTGTAATACTAAAATGAATAGATGTGAGTGGTCAGAGTGGTATGATGTGTATGACCCAAAAAATGACAACAGTGACTTGGAAACATATGAGAACATCAGAAATAGCGGTAAACAGGTATGTCAAGATCCGAGCAACATTGAATGTGGATCGACAGTTGACACTAGGAAAAACTTCAATGACTTTGTGAGTGAAACTGGCCAAGTTGTTACTTGTGATCTGAAAAATGGTTTAACATGTCAACAAAAGGACCAGATAAGTCCTCCACTGAAGTGCTTTAACTATAGGATCAGAGTACAATGTTGTAAAATGGTAGATGAACCATGTACAACTACTCCCGTCACTACTAAACCTAGTACTACAACTGAAGTTCCAACTACAACCACAGAATCTACAACACCGGTTCCAACCACAACAACATCTAAATCTACAACTCCAACTGAACCTACTACTACAACTGAAGTGACAACTACAATCACAAGATCGACAACACCACTAACTAAACCTACTGCTACAACTGAAGCGACAACGATAACAACACCAAAGACTACAACAACCCCAACGAATCTACTGCTACAACTGAAGCGCCAACTACATCCACAATGTCTACAACACCACCTACTAAACCTACAACAACACCAACTGAACCTACTACAACTGAAGTGCCAACTACAACCACAATGTCCACAACACCACATACTGTACCTACAACTACAACTGAAGTTCCAACTACAACCACAGAATCTACAACACCAGTTCCAACCACAACAACATCGAAATCTACAACACCAACTGAACCTACTACTACTACTGAAGCGACAACTACAACAACACCAAAGACTACAACAACACCAACTGAATCTACTGCTACAACTGAATTGCCAACTACATCCACAATGTCTACAATACCACCTACTAAACCTACAACAACACCAACTGAATCTACTACTACAACTGAGGTGCTAACTACAACCACAGAATCTACAACAACACCAGTCACAGTATCTACGACTCCTTCAACAACTACTCCTGCTCCCTGTAATACTAAAATGAATAGATGTGAGTGGTCAGAGTGGTATGATGTGTATGACCCAAAAAATGACAACAGTGACTTGGAAACATATGAGAACATCAGAAATAGCGGTAAACAGGTATGTCAAGATCCGAGCAACATTGAATGTGGATCGACAGTTGACACTAGGAAAAACTTCAATGACTTTGTGAGTGAAACTGGCCAAGTTGTTACTTGTGATCTGAAAAATGGTTTAACATGTCAACAAAAGGACCAGATAAGTCCTCCACTGAAGTGCTTTAACTATAGGATCAGAGTACAATGTTGTAAAATGGTAGATGAACCATGTACAACTACTCCCGTCACTACTAAACCTAGTACTACAACTGAAGTTCCAACTACAACACAGAATCTACAACACCGGTTCCAACCACAACAACATCTAAATCTACAACTCCAACTGAACCTACTACTACAACTGAAGTGACAACTACAACCACAAGATCGACAACACCACTAACTAAACCTACTGCTACAACTGAAGCGACAACAATAACAACACCAAAGACTACAACAACCCCAACTGAATCTACTGCTACAACTGAAGCGCCAACTACATCCACAATGTCTACAACACCACCTACTAAACCTACAACAACACCAACTGAACCTACTACTACAACTGAAGTGCCAACTACAACCACAATGTCCACACACCACATACTGTACCTACAACTACAACTGAAGTTCCAACTACAACCACAGAATCTACAACACCAGTTCCAACCACAACAACATCGAAATCTACAACACCAACTGAACCTACTACTACTACTGAAGCGACAACTACAACAACACCAAAGACTACAACAACTCCAATTGAATCTACTGCTACAACTGAAGTTCCAACAACATCCACAATGTCTACAACACCACCTACTAAACCTACAACAACACCAACTGAATCTACTACTACAACTGAGGTGCCAACTACAACCACAGTATCTACAACAACACCAGTCACAGTATCTACGACTCCTTCAACAACTACTCCTGCTCCCTGTAATACTAAAATGAATAGATGTGAGTGGTCAGAGTGGTATGATGTGTATGACCCAAAAAATGACAACAGTGACTTGGAAACATATGAGAACATCAGAAATAGCGGTAAACAGGTATGTCAAGATCCGAGCAACATTGAATGTGGATCGACAGTTGACACTAGGAAAAACTTCAATGACTTTGTGAGTGAAACTGGCCAAGTTGTTACTTGTGATCTGAAAAATGGTTTAACATGTCAACAAAAGGACCAGATAAGTCCTCCACTGAAGTGCTTTAACTATAGGATCAGAGTACAATGTTGTAAAATGGTAGATGAACCATGTACAACTACTCCCGTCACTACTAAACCTAGTACTACAACTGAAGTTCCAACTACAACCACAGAATCTACAACACCGGTTCCAACCACAACAATATCTAAATCTACAACTCCAACTGAACCTACTACTACAACTGAAGTGATAACTACAACCACAAGATCGACAACACCACTAACTAAACCTACTGCTACAACTGAAGCGACAACGATAACAACACCAAAGACTACAACAACCCCAACTGAATCTACTGCTACAACTGAAGCGCCAACTACATCCACAATGTCTACAACACCACCTACTAAACCTACAACAACACCAACTGAACCTACTACTACAACTGAAGTGCCAACTACAACCACAATGTCCACAACACCACATACTGTACCTACAACTACAACTGAAGTTCCAACTACAACCACAGAATCTACAACACCAGTTCCAACCACAACAACATCGAAATCTACAACACAACTGAACCTACTACTACTACTGAAGCGACAACTACAACAACACCAAAGACTACAACAACTCCAATTGAATCTACTGCTACAACTGAATTGCCAACAACATCCACAATGTCTACAACACCACCTACTAAACCTACAACAACACCAACTGAATCTACTACTACAACTGAGGTGCCAACTACAACCACAGAATCTACAACACCGGTTCCAACCACAACAACATCTAAATCTACAACTCCAACTGAACCTACTACTACAACTGAAGTGATAACTACAATCACAAGATCGACAACACCACTAACTAAACCTACTGCTACAACTGAAGCGACAACGATAACAACACCAAAGACTACAACAACCCCAACTGAATCTACTGCTACAACTGAAGCGCCAACTACATCCACAATGTCTACAACACCACCTACTAAACCTACAACAACACCAACTGAACCTACTACTACAACTGAAGTGCCAACTACAACCACAATGTCCACAACACCACATACTGTACCTACAACTACAACTGAAGTTCCAACTACAACCACAGAATCTACAACACCAGTTCCAACCACAACAACATCGAAATCTACAACACCAACTGAACCTACTACTACTACTGAAGCGACAAGTACAACAACACCAAAGACCACAACAACTCCAATTGAATCTACTGCTACAACTGAATTGCCAACAACATCCACAATGTCTACAACACCACCTACTAAACCTACAACAACACCAACTGAATCTACTACTACAACTGAGGTGCCAACTACAACCACAGAATCTACAACAACACCAGTCACAGTATCTACGACTCCTTCAACAACTACTCCTGCTCCCTGTAATACTAAAATGAATAGATGTGAGTGGTCAGAGTGGTATGATGTGTATGACCCAAAAATGACAACAGTGACTTGGAAACATATGAGAACATCAGAAATAGCGGTAAACAGGTATGTCAAGATCCGAGCAACATTGAATGTGGATCGACAGTTGACACTAGGAAAAACTTCAATGACTTTGTGAGTGAAACTGGCCAAGTTGTTACTTGTGATCTGAAAAATGGTTTAACATGTCAACAAAAGGACCAGATAAGTCCTCCACTGAAGTGCTTTAACTATAGGATCAGAGTACAATGTTGTAAAATGGTAGATGAACCATGTACAACTACTCCCGTCACTACTAACCTAGTACTACAACTGAAGTTCCAACTACAACCACAGAATCTACAACACCGGTTCCAACCACAACAACATCTAAATCTACAACTCCAACTGAACCTACTACTACAACTGAAGTGACAACTACAACCACAAGATCGACAACACCACTAACTAAACCTACTGCTACAACTGAAGCGACAACGATAACAACACCAAAGACTACAACAACCCCAACTGAATCTACTGCTACAACTGAAGCGCCAACTACATCCACAATGTCTACAACACCACCTACTAAACCTACAACAACACCAACTGAACCTACTACTACAACTGAAGTGCCAACTACAACCACAATGTCCACAAACCACATACTGTACCTACAACTACAACTGAAGTTCCAACTACAACCACAGAATCTACAACACCAGTTCCAACCACAACAACATCGAAATCTACAACACCAACTGAACCTACTACTACTACTGAAGCGACAACTACAACAACACCAAAGACTACAACAACTCCAATTGAATCTACTGCTACAACTGAATTGCCAACAACATCCACAATGTCTACAACACCACCTACTAAACCTACAACAACACCAACTGAATCTACTACTACAACTGAGGTGCCAACTACAACCACAGAATCTACAACACCGGTTCCAACCACAACAACATCTAAATCTACAACTCCAACTGAATCTACTACTACAACTGAAGTGATAACTACAATCACAAGATCGACAACACCACTAACTAAACCTACTGCTACAACTGAAGCGACAACGATAACAACACCAAAGACTACAACAACCCCAACTGAATCTACTGCTACAACTGAAGCGCCAACTACATCCACAATGTCTACAACACCACCTACTAAACCTACAACAACACCAACTGAACCTACTACTACAACTGAAGTGCCAACTACAACCACAATGTCCACAACACCACATACTGTACCTACAACTACAACTGAAGTTCCAACTACAACCACAGAATCTACAACACTAGTTCCAACCACAACAACATCGAAATCTACAACACCAACTGAACCTACTACTACTACTGAAGCGACAACTACAACAACACCAAAGACCACAACAACACCAACTGAATCTACTACTACAACTGAGGTGCCAACTACAACCACAGAATCTACAACAACACCAGTCACAGTATCTACGACTCCTTCAACAACTACTCCTGCTCCCTGTAATACTAAAATGAATAGATGTGAGTGGTCAGAGTGGTATGATGTGTATGACCCAAAAAATGACAACAGTGACTTGGAAACATATGAGAACATCAGAAATAGCGGTAAACAGGTATGTCAAGATCCGAGCAACATTGAATGTGGATCGACAGTTGACACTAGGAAAAACTTCAATGACTTTGTGAGTGAAACTGGCCAAGTTGTTACTTGTGATCTGAAAAATGGTTTAACATGTCAACAAAGGACCAGATAAGTCCTCCACTGAAGTGCTTTAACTATAGGATCAGAGTACAATGTTGTAAAATGGTAGATGAACCATGTACAACTACTCACGTCACTACTAAACCTAGTACTACAACTGAAGTGCCAACTACAACCACAGAATCTACAACACCGGTTCCAACCACAACAACATCTAAATCTACAACTCCAACTGAACCTACTACTACAACTGAAGTGACAACTACAATCACAAGATCGACAACACCACTAACTAAACCTACTGCTACAACTGAAGCGACAACGATAACAACACCAAAGACTACAACAACCCCAACTGAATCTACTGCTACAACTGAAGCGCCAACTACATCCACAATGTCTACAACACCACCTACTAAACCTACAACAACACCAACTGAACCTACTACTACAACTGAAGTGCCAACTACATCCACAATGTCTACAACACCACCTACTAAACCTACAACAACACCAACTAAACCTACTGCTACAACTGAAGCGACAACTACAACCACAGAATCTACAACAACACCAGTCACAGTATCTACGACTCCTTCAACAACTACTCCTGCTCCCTGTAATACTAAAATGAATAGATGTGAGTGGTCAGAGTGGTATGATGTGTATGACCCAAAAAATGACAACAGTGACTTGGAAACATATGAGAACATCAGAAATAGCGGTAAACAGGTATGTCAAGATCCGAGCAACATTGAATGTGGATCGACAGTTGACACTAGGAAAAACTTCAATGACTTTGTGAGTGAAACTGGCCAAGTTGTTACTTGTGATCTGAAAAATGGTTTAACATGTCAACAAAAGGACCAGATAAGTCCTCCACTGAAGTGCTTTAACTATAGGATCAGAGTACAATGTTGTAAAATGGTAGATGAACCATGTACAACTACTCCCGTCACTACTAAACCTAGTACTACAACTGAAGTTCCAACTACAACCACAGAATCTACAACACCGGTTCCAACCACAACAACATCTAAATCTACAACTCCAACTGAACCTACTACTACAACTGAAGTGATAACTACAACCACAAGATCGACAACACCACTAACTAAACCTACTGCTACAACTGAAGCGACAACGATAACAACACCAAAGACTACAACAACCCCAACTGAATCTACTGCTACAACTGAAGCGCCAACTACATCCACAATGTCTACAACACCACCTACTAAACCTACAACAACACCAACTGAACCTACTACTACAACTGAAGTGCCAACTACAACCACAATGTCCACAACACCACATACTGTACCTACAACTACAACTGAAGTTCCAACTACAACCACAGAATCTACAACACCAGTTCCAACCACAACAACATCTAAATCTACAACTACAACTGAACCTACTACTACAACTGAAGTGACAACTACAATCACAAGATCGACAACACCACTAACTAAACCTACTGCTACAACTGAAGTTCCAATTACAACCACAGAATCTACAACACCAGTTCCAACCCCAACAACATCTAAATCTACAACACCACCTGAACCTACTACTACAACTAAAGTGACAACTACAACCACAAGATCGACAACACCACTAACTAAACCTACTGCTACAACTGAAGTTCCAACTACAACAACATCTAAATCTACAACACCACCTGAACCTACTACTACAACTGAAGTGCCAACTACAACCACAATGTCTACAACACCACCAACTGAACTTACTACTACCACCACAACAAGCATATTGACAACTCCTACTAACCGGACAACCACATTCAACACATCTAAATCTGCATCCACCCCAACCACTACTCCTCAACCTTCACCACCTTCTTGCCCTCGCTGGAAAATTGTGGTAAGACAAGCACATAGAAACACATAGATTCATGTTAATCCTATCTCTATCCTGGAATTAGTCAGATCCCCGTTGTTTCTTTGCTGAATATGGATTGTTTCATTATTGCTATGTTTCCTGGTGCACCCTGGACCCTACTGACACCTGGTTAGTACCTATTGTCAGCTTGGATGTGGGGGCCCAGCTTCCTCGCCGATTTTCACCTGCATTAACCACATATATCTTCAGCCCCTGATTTGAGTACCTCTGACGGCAAGTCCCTACCCTCCTCTTAGAGCTGCCCTGGTCAATGTTAGATTGCTAATGAATGAGACCTTTATCCTAAATGAGTTCTCCTGTCATGACTTGGATTTCTTTATTTGTGACTGAATGTGACTGGCTGAATGCTGGTGGGTGGAGCGCTTCTTCAGATTTCTTAACACTTGATTGCACATATTTTAACTCTCAGAGTCACCAACTGTGTTTGACCCCTCCATTTCCATAGAGTGTGCAGCAGTTTTTACCCAGTTTGAGCCTATATCGTCTCTATTCTTAAAAATATTGTCGCACATTTGAAACCCTGAGTGTGTCCCATTGACATTGTCTCAACTTGCCTTTTTAAGAGGTATGGGACACTATTGGACCTAATATCCAAGAAATCATAAATTGCAGCCTTACTTCAGGTTCTGTAACACCCTATTTTAAACAAGCAGTGGTGCAGCCACTCATTAAAAAAATTATCTGGACATGAAGTATCGCCCTATCTCTAAACTTCCCTTTGTCTCTTAAGATTTTAGAGAAGGATGTTTTTTACAGTTGCAATCCCAGGTGTTCTTGACGTGTTCCAGTGTGGTCTTAAGGCATTTTATAGCACAGAATCTACAATTTTAAGAGTTTTTTGGGGATATTTTAGTCTCATCAAACTCTGAAGATTCTGTGATTCTTTTCTTTTAGATCTTACAGCAGTGTTTGACACAGCTGACCACAGTATACTTATTTCTCACCTTGAGCACAACGTGGGGATTAAAGACACTGCCTTAGAATTGTTTAGGTCATGTTTGTCAGACAGAGATTTTAGAGTCAGCTTTGGTGACTCTCCTTCACCCTTTGTCCCTCACATGTGGAGTTTTGGGCCAATTCTTTTCTCCCTCTATTTGCTTCCCTTAGGCTCAATCTTAAAATGACATAACATCAGTTTCCATTTTAACATAGATGATTCGCAAATCTCCTTGTCTTTTAAAAGGAATGGTGGTAGCTCCTTTAACAGATTGTTTGACTGTTTTCACGACATCAACACCTGGATGGCATTTATTATTTTTTCTTTTTAACAAGCGTAAAACTAAGGTCGTGTATTTTGACCCAGTGGTGCTTCTAATGCCTCTCACTGTTTGGAACCCTATGTTAAGTCTGGTGTAGTAAACGTTGGCACTAAAATGGACTGCGATTCTAAACTGGAGAAACAGATAAATTCGGTTTTGAAAGCTGGTTTCTTTCAAATTAGACTTAAGACTATGCTAAAACCCTTTTATCCTGCACTGATATAGTATATATATATATTTATAGATTTTTCACAAGGCACTTTTATTATTGTAATGATTTATATGTAGGTGCTAGGCCTCCCTCTCTCAACTACAACTGGCTCAAAATGCTGCTGCTCGTCTCCTTACTGAAATTTGTCAGCAACACCACATCTCCCCTGTTCTTGACTCTCTTCAATGCCTCACAGTTAATTTTAGGATCAATT